CAAAAACCGCGATTGAGTGAAGCCGCGGAAGTCGAAGCGCGAAGTGGCGAGGGTTCACTGTATATTTTTCTGGGAAACCTGTGGCTGCCGTTCTCAGTCATCATTGCTTTACGTTTCCCCTGACAACCAGCTCCCATTGTTTATGTAAACACCAGCCAGCCATGAAAGGATTCATTCTGTGCGAGGTCAATCATTCGGGTATTATGATATGTAATTAGCCTACATAGGCTTGAGCCCATCGATGCAGCCACAGTGTCCGTCCATCTCATCAAGAACCCCTGCCCCTCCACTTTACCAAACACAATGTCCTTCTCCAGGGACTGGTCTCTGCCGACATGTATGTGAGACAGAGTCTCGCCATCCCTGCCTCTAAGGAGCGCCCTGACGGTACTTACTCCCGGCCAGACGTGAGCCTTCTGGTGGCAGTGTGTCCATGCTCTTTGCCGACACCATTCCAGGATGTCGGCGCTTCTTCAGCCGCCCTTTTCCAATGTCCAACGTTCACGTGCGTAGGAAGTGAGGAAAAATACCCTGGCTCTGTTGTCCCCTAGGAGTCCTGGTGGCATAGAGGGTTACGTGTTGGACCGCTGATCGCAAGGTTGGCAGTTGAGACTCACAGTCGCTCTGCAGGAGAAAGATGAGGCTTTCTACCCCCAGAAAGAGTTACAGCCTCTGAAACTCACAGCAGCAGTTCTAACCTGCCCTCTAGGGTCGACACTATGCCTCCGAATTTGACGAGATGGCAGTGAGTTTGGGTTTTTTATTTTGTTTTTAGTTGTACCCTACAACACAGGATAATTCATCGGCTGGGAAAGCCCATCAGCACGACGCGGCCTTCCCAACGTGGCCACTTCAATGGGATGTGGAGTGTAAGAGAAACGGTCACAAAGCAGGATGCGGCGGCCAGTCCCTAACGTCACCGTTGTAGGCTGGCATCTGGCCTCGCTCTAGAACCCAGTACTTGTTCTGGGAGTCGAAAGCCACCTCTCTCTCTCTCTCTCTGAGCCGCTAGTAGTTTCCAACTGCTGACCTTGCGATTGGCAGCCCAGCACATCCCCCACTCCGCCTCCAGAGCTCGCACACACACTCTTGTATCCCACAGTGCATGCAGGGCACACCCAGGCAAGGGGTGCCCCTCCCTGCAGTGGCTCGTGAGTGGCAGTAATCTGCTTTCCAACCCTCTGTCTGGGGGCAAAGCTAGTCACTCTGCTCAGGGCTCAGGGCTCTGGCGGTGGTCCGTTTGTTAGGTACCTTCAAGTCTGTTCCCCCTCCCAGCGAGAATGACACATTGTCTCGTCCCGCGCCTTCCTCACAATTGTTCTCATGCTGTAGCCACTGTGTCCGTCC